AGTCAGTGAACACTGAAGCTGCATTTATACAGATGAAGAAGATGTTCATTAATATCTCTCTACTGATAATATTTAATTCTGATTATAAGACAGTTATTGCATCTGACTTCTCTGATTATATCACAGAAGAAGTCATACTGTAATATGATGATAATGATGTTTTATAATTATACATCTTCATGTCTAAGAAACTGAGTTCTGCTGAATGCAATTATAAAATCTATGATAAGAAACTTCTCACAATTATACACTGTCTAGAAGAATAAGACTCTGAACTCTGAAGCATCTTCAAATTTAAGATAATCATAGATTATAAGAATCTCAAGTACTTTATAATAAGCTGTAAACTCACTGAATGACAGATGCAATGATCAGAGTTCTTAAGTCACTTTCATTTTATAATACACTACTGATCTGACAGTCAGAACTTGATGATAGATGCTCTCTTACAATGAGAGTAAGATATGTCTTTCAATATAACAGGCACCTGTTGAATGAACTGAGAGCATCAGCTCTTAGATACAAAGATATTGATTAATCAAAATAGAATAACTTATGACACTATATACATTTCTCTGATTAGAAAACTCTCTCTTCAAACTGATACTGATACTGATATTCTCACTTCTTCTACACTGAATGAACTGTGATATACAGCAGCTCAGACTAATAAACTTCTTCAGACTCTCACTAAAACAGTATGTTAAGAAGTATTCTGATTTCTCTCAGAACTATATATAAGAACTGATATTTCAGAATGTTTAATTAATGATAATAATACTCTATAATTCTGTGAATAATGCTGAGTCTATCACTCTTAACTCTTATACATCTGAATAATGTAAGAGATGCATAATTTATATATAACTGATCATTCAGACTATGAATAACTGTACTGAATAATCTCTTGAGAATTCTACTGATCTGAGATATTAATCAGTATCAGACATTTTGCCTGAAACTGTAACTATTGTTCTTTCATCATCTCATGAAAGAACTGTAGAAAAGACCTGCTGAAACTACTTAATATCTTTGATAGAATCTGATCAGATATGATAATTAACTTCACTGTTGATCTCTCTGAGAGTAAGAGTTATAGAAGCATTCTGATCATTGTGAATTGATTGAGTAAAGATATAATATTGAAACCTTGTAATAAGATGAATACTGAACAAGTTATTAAAGCTTTTCTATAGAGCTTATTCTATCAGATGTATGAATTACTGAGATCTATAGTATCAGATCAGAGTTATTAATTTATAAGTACTCTCTGAACAAGAATCTGTCAAGTTCTTAAAATTATACACTGTTTGTCAACTGCTTATCACTCTGAGACTGATAATATATCAGAATGAATAATTCAGACTTTGAAGAATTATCTTTATAAGTTCTGTAATCACTTATAAGACAATTGATATGATCTTCTTCTATATACAGAGATTATTATCAACAGTTAAGATGCTGTTTCAACAGATATAAATCTGCTCTTTCTTATATATAAATACTACATGAAAGTGTTGAATCTTGTAGAGATTACACAGTTTATACTAAACTCTCATAGTCTAATTCAGATTGCTGATAATATAGTAATAAAGCTTTAAGATATCTGTGACTGATCAGAGGTCTTCATGACAACTGTGAAACAAGATTAAGAAGATTAAATTAGTATCTGACAACATTCTGCAGAGCAGTATAAGATAGAAGATCTTATATAACTGAATCTTAAAAATATACAAATTACACATTCATCTTATACACTAGATTACTGTTATGTCAGATATAAAGTGATAGAAGTTCTAGATAGCTATAACTACTGTCTTAACACATTATCAGAGAGTTATAACCGTGCCATGCTTACTCACTCTCTGTAGTGAGTGCGTCACAGCGTACAGAAAACCACACTGTAAAGAAAATATTTTGAATATAGTGATCTTCAAAAATTAATTAATAATCATCATCACATCTATCTATAATATAAAGATTATCTATATACTCATTAGAAGATGTAGAATTCACTGTAGATTGAGATTCTATAGAATTATCTTGTTGTGATTGAATAACTGTAGATTTTATAGGTTTGATTTCAATCAATTGAAGAGTCTTATTGAACATCTTTTTCATCTCATCTGCTCTACAGATCGCGATCTTGCAATTGACATTCTTAATAGTGAGGACTTCATCTACTTGCACCTGCCTGTGGGAGGATTTGACAATTCAACATCTATTTGTTTGATAATAACCTGCAAGTTCATTCTCATGATGCATGTTCAATTTCACCTGAATCATGCTATCCTTGAAGATCTTGTTCAATCACCTTGTCAAACCAGGTGTAAGAGTATTCTTCACATCTTCTAAGGCCTTGACTGCTGCATTGATTTGGTGACATAGTTTTGCAATCATCTCTGAGAAGGTTAATTGCAAGGAGACAGTGATGAAGTAAAGTGATTGCATACATCATCATCATCATTATATATGGTGAGATTCAGGGCATCATCAATGGTAAGAGGTCTCAATCAATTGAGAATTATATCGCGATTAACTGGATACATTTCACAGTCAGCAAAGCCAGCTCTCACAGTGCCAGGTTTGAATGCTTACAGTCAGACACTCTTCAGATTAGTAAGGAATTGTCTGTCATCATACTGCTCATATCTGTAGCGGGCGGTCTCATTAATAATATTCAACTGATGAATTCATATCTTAATTGTCTCTTCCTGGCTGTCATTCAATGCTCAATTCAGTGAAACTCTCATAGTCCTTGATTTCTTCCTGTTGATCCTCCCATACAAGATGGCATATGAAACTTTGAATTCTCGCGACAGAGACATGATTTTTAATTTTGAATTACTTTTGTACACATCAACAGCTCTTTACAACTGCTTCTCAGTGTAATTAGAAGATTTAGACATGGTTATAATTAATAATGATTATTTAAAGATGAAGAACGAAGATATTGAAAATATTTTCTGTACAGTGTGGTTTTCTGTATGCTGTGGCGCACTCACTACAGAGAGTGAGTAAGCATGACACAGTTAATGTTTTTCACACAAGCTTGCTTCACTGTGCTGTCATGAACCTGTTCTCTTCTCAACTGACTTTCAACTGACAGCTGTCAGAGATCATATAAGAAGATAATGAGCTTAAGTGAGAGATTGAAGATATTCTCAATGAGAGATTATACAGCTGTGACTGATAATATCTTGTGAAATGAGTCAGCTATGATCAATCAATCTGAACTCTGAGTTTCATGTTATCTGAAACAGTGACTCTTGATCAATAAGAACTACTTCTGAAAGAAGAGAGCTAATGTGACAGACTGTGTTCAATCAACTATATAGACTATTCTGTTACACTTTATAGATTTCTATCACATCATTTCTGATCACTGATTCTCAGCTATTATGAATATATATGTTCTGATCAGTCATTCTTGAACATGTATGCTTTGATTCTCAGTCATTCTCAATCACTGATTCTCAGCTGTTATAAATGTGTGTATATTCTTTCACTCTGAAGCTTCACTGCGTACATCATCACATACATATATAAATATTCACTTTAATTACTGATTCTCATACTTTCTCTTTCTTTTTCTTCTTTAATGTGTTTCTCTTTGTTATATAAGTTCTATTTATTATACTGATCTATTCGGTGTAGACCTCTTACAGTATTATTAATTTATGTATATATCAGCTATTTACTACTGCTATAATTTCAACATTATTTAGAGTCACTGCAGTACTGTCTCTATGCTCGCATTTAACAGTTCTCTTTCATTATTAATAGATATAGCTATATCATTTATCAGATATACAGTATCTGTGTTTAAGAGTTTTTTAAAATCGGAAGAAGTGTATTTATACAAATATTTTATATATCTAAGATATTAGAACTCTCAGATCTTTTACTAATATTCTCTTTATAAGATTTTATTACAGAGTCAGAGTAATTGATGAGTAAGCTTCTATCTATCTAGTAAAGACTCAGTGTTTATGTAGCTGATTATTCATTTTCTTCTTATTAGTATATATTATTATACATTCAGATATCTTTCAATAAGTAATTATTTTGAATAAGGAGATAATGAATATTTTCTAAGTGTATAAAATCTATGCTAAAAAGATCAGTATTAGATATAGAATCTATATAATAAAAATAGAAAATATTAAAGAAGAAAGAGAAAATATAAGAATCAGTAATTCAAGTAAATATTTATATATATACAAGATGAAGTCTGAAAGTGAGAGAATAGAAGCTCTGTGAGTTTCTCAGCTGAGAATTAGTGACTAAGAATTGAAGCTTTCAGAAGAAATCTATGAAGTGTAATAGAATAAATTAGTAACTAAGAATTAAAGCTTTCAGTGAAAATCTATGAAGTCTAATAAAATAATCTATTAATTAAACATAGCCCGGTATATCAATAAATTAACAAGTGTTTAATTCTTTTTATTGATTTAATTATTTTTTCTATTATTTTCTTTTAAGCTTTATTTCATAAATGATTAATTTATTACTTCTCTATTTTTAATTTAATATTAGTAATATAGCAGTGGAGATAAAAATAGAGTATGTTAAGTACTTATATTAAAGACTTGTAATTTTATTTTAAATTGTATTTATATATGTTAAAAATATCTTGAACTTTTTTCTCAATACTTTCATCTTTAATAGTTATATTATAAGTGATTAATTAATAATAGAAATAAGATAATAGATTAATAAAGAAAAAGTAATATTAAAATAATAATAATATTATAATGAGACATACTTATACATGAATATAATAAGTTTTTAGTGTAGATATATATATCTCAAATAATAAAACATACTTTATGTAGTATTTTTACTATTAAAAGTTTCAGATTGACTCAGTTTTCAGTCTTTTTACTAATAATAATTAAGCATTTTTATTGTAGTAGTTGAATGTTTGTCTTAGTACAGTGATTGTAAAATTTATCTATTGATAAGAAGTGTATTCTCTTTTATTCAGTTTCATGAAACTTTATACTATCTTATAGAATTATTAGTTATTATTATTACAATTATTTTAACTAAGAACTGTATAAAATGCCTCTTCAGTTCTCTCTCTTCTTGATTCTCTTTCACAAGCTTTATCTTTCATCTTCATGTTTCTCTCTATATTTCTTCTATCACTTTTTATCTCATAAGACTAGTTGAAATCACTACTTTTTAAAAGAACAATGCATCTCTCTTCTGTATTCATTGGTGCTCTCACTGCACTCATCTCTGTTGTTCATGCAGAGAGTGTGATTGCAAAGAGAGCAGACTTGGGCAGTGCTTTTGTATTTGTTTATTGCAATTTCAGCGTCGCTCTCGATATTCAGGCTGGCGAAACTAGCACCCGGAAAATCCTTGACGGCCGATCTTATGATTACCACAATGAGAAATATAGAGGCGGCAGCGGCGATGGCGTCAGTTTAACACTACATCACACCGATGGTCCGGACAGTTCCAATTCAGAAACAACGTTCCGCTATAAATTAGCCGACGATAATTCGACTGTCGAGTACAGTTTGGGGAATTCAGGTGGTAACCCATTTGCAGGCCATAAAATCACTCTCAAGTCCTCGGGTGACGGTTGCCCCAGTATTGAATGGCCGGAAGGCATTCCGACAGGCGTAAGCAGTGGCTCCTGCGGATCTAGCGATAATTCGATTTTGACGTTGTGCCCACCGGGAACGTCTCTGGATGATTTTGAGGATGAGTAAAATTAAAATGGTATGATGTGACTTCTCTGTCTTTTTTTTCACTCGTGATTTGATGAGTATTTTGAGTTTGATCATGCTAATAATTGAGAGATAAGAAAATGAAACCTTTTTGTTTCATGATTAGACATAGTCACCTGTCAACTTCTCTTAACATTAGTTGAATTTCTCAATGTGAGATTATGAAGAGATCAGGCAATCAGTGACATAATTTAAGTTAGAGCTCATGCTAATAAGCATTAAAACATTGTTTGAGATATTTTATCAATGTATTTAATTATTAAAGACAGATGTTAATTTTCTCTCTTCTATCTTTATTAATTTTTTTTTTCATTAACTCTTATTCTCTTATTTTATATATAAAGTATGCCTCTGTATTATGATAACATTCAATAAACTCTAAAATATTATGAATTTATTTAAATACTTAGATAATTGCAGTTGTAAATCTCTCTTACTTTTTAATTAATGCTAGTTCTAAATATACTAGTTAATATTGTCTAATAGAGAGGTATAATGAGTGTAATTTAATTAATGAAATAATTAAGCTATTTTCTCAGAAGTACTGTTAATAATTTCTCATATATTTAATACAGATAATAGATTCACTATCTTATATTTTTTACAGTATATATAGTAACTGTTAACTTTTCTATTTATTATTAAATTTTCCTGTCATCTTCTCAACCTTGTGTCTGCTTTTAGTATAATAGAAAGAGAGTAAAAGAGAATATAAAGATAAAGTTTCAAGATCAAGATCTGTTTATACTGTATATAATATTATTTCTCTTTCTCTGAAGAGGTGTAAGAGGCCTACACTGAATACGCGTACATAGTGAAGCTTCGGGGTAAAACTCCGTGTACACGGTGGAGCTGCCAAGGATCGGCGACCGAGGATCGGAGCTTTCAGCGGAATCTATGAAGTGTAATGAAATAGTCTATATAATTGATCAGGCGCAGCCCGTCACAAGAGCTGATATTAACAGAAGTTTTATTAATTAATTATTAAAGAGATTTCTACAGCACTCAGTTATAGAAAATATTTAGTACAGATAATCTTTCTATATAAACACAGATGTCTAAACTGATCAGTTAGACTATGAATTTCATATTGAATCTTATTTAATCTGGTCTCATACATTTCTTGACATGAATGCCGCTAAAACTAATTATTAAAATGTGATTCAAAGATTTCTTAAGTCAGTGTAAGATTACAGATGTACACTGACTTCTTATATATATTAGACTAAATTAATTAGTAGCTGTTAGAGCCTCTTTACATTCGTAAGTATATTCAAAAGTGACTGTGTTATTATTCAGCAGTTGTATATTCTTTCAAACTACAAAAAAAACATGTAAAGTGTAGCGTACGCCGCTACGTAGAGTCAGATATAAGGGTAAAAACACTTCTGATTCTATAAAAGATGGGAGATGGGCGTACGCCCCTATATATACAGTGATTGTTTGATAGAGATTAACTCTCATAGAAGGAGCGATCGCATATGAAGGGAAGGACAGAGGAAGAAGATAGAATCGGAAGCTTCAGAAAACAGCAAGGAATGAAGCGGAAGCTAGAGTTGAATAGAGGATTGACTTGAAAAGAGAGCGGAAGCACGCCACATAAAGAGAATATTTATCAGATCTTAAAACAAAACTATAACTTAGAAAAAATAAGAAAGTGATCTTATTTAATCTTATTTAGTCATATTCTTAATATAAAGTTACTATTGTTAAACATTTAAACATTTTTTTAACTATTTTTAAGTTTTTAAAAAGTAATAATTTTTAATAATTCTTAAATAAGATTTAAAGTTATTTAAAGTAATAAGATAAATTTAAATTGAGAAGTAGAAATTATAATCTTGTTTGAAAAATTTAATAAAAGTAGATAGTAAGTCTTACTATAACAGTATAAAACTACTATCTAATCTTAAAACTATGTAACAAAATTAATTAAATTAATAATAAAATTATTAAATATTCTGATTCTAATCTTAGATATAGATACATAGTCAGTTTAATAATAAGATTAATGAAATTAATAATGAAACTATTAAATATTCTGATTCTGATCTCAGATATAGTTTTATAGTCAGTTTACAGATATTATAATTCAGTACTTCTGTAGTATAGATCTTGTAAATATAATATTTATTTAATTAATAATCTCTTATTCAGTAATTTACTGAGTAATGAATATAATAAATTCATCACTGAAAGAAGTAGCAGCAGCTGCTATTATCATCACTACTGTTAACTATCACAGCCGTAGTTGTCTTGAACTTAAATAATAATAATACAAAGTGAGATCTTTTATATTAATATTCACTGCCTGTTTCATACACTTATTTTATTTTAAATTTTAACAATATAAGAGCTTGATAGTATTAATGATAATAATATGAGAATTGTGAATGCAAATCAAAGTATAGAAAACATGAATAGAGAGAGATGTAGATAGAGTTGTTCAATATAAGATAGAAAGTAATAAGTACTATAACTAGTTAAAAAGAAAGTCTGTAGAGCATTAATTACACACAGATACTATGTGTAAATACATCCGGAAACATCGCATGTATGAATTTACTATAGTGATATTAATTTACAGAATATTAAACTGTGTTAGTGATTACTATTATATTATAGAAAGAATGTAGAGTTAATTTACAGTAATTATACTCTGAACTCATCATTTCGCTCATGTCATATATCACTGACTAGACTGGCTGCTGAGATCATAAATTTCATCTTTCATTTCATTTAATCAGATCTTATACATTTGTTAATGTGAATTCTGCTGAGACTAGTAATTTAAAAAACCTGTAAAGTGACTATATATCAAATCTCAAAATAAAACCATAACTTGAAAAAAATGAGAAAGTGGTTTCATTTAATTTCATTTAGTTTCATTCTTGACATAAAGTTACTATTTTTAGACATTTTAAGGTTTTTTTAGACAATTTTTAAATTTTTAAAAAGTAACACTTTTTGATAATACTCAAATGAGATTTAAAGTCATTTAAAGCAATAAAAATAATTTAAATTGAGAAGTGAAAATCATGATCTTATTTGGAAAATGTGATAATATTAGATGATAACGTAATCAATCACTCAACCCCTGTGTACACTCAACACTCATTCAATCTTCATTTTTTCATTCATATTCAATCACTTATAACATGCATTATAAAGCAGTTATACAAGTAATAATTGATGATTTGAATACACAATTAATCTCTAATTACACTGAGACTGCTAAAAAATATAAAATCAGTTAATATACATTATCACAGCTAGACTGGCTGCTGGAATCATGAATTTTATATTTGATCTCATTTGATCTGATCTCATACATTTCTTGGCATGAATCCCGCTGGGACTAGCTATTAAAAAAACATGTAAAGTGACTATATATCAGATCTTAAAATGAAATCATGACTTGAAAAAAATAAGAAAGTAGTCTTATTTAATCTCATTTAGTCTCATTCTTAGTATAAAGTTACTATTTTTAGACATTTTAAGATTGTTTTTAGACTATTTTTAATTTTTTAAAAAGTAATGCTTTTTGATAACACTCAAATGAGATTTAAAGTCATTTAAAGCAATAAAAATAATTTAAATGAAGAAGTGAAAATCATAGTCTTATTTGAAAAATGTGACAAGAGTAGACAGTAAGTCTCACTGAGACAGTATGAAACTACTATTTAATGTTAAAACTGTGTAATGAAATCAGTTGAATTGATAATGAAACTATCAAAAAATCTGATTCTGATTCCAGACACGGTCACACGGTCAGTCTAATCACAGCAGTATAGAGATGTTCAAATATTAAGAAAGAAAGCAAGCTTTACTCACTGTAAAAATCTCATAGATTCACAAGAAGAACACCTTCTTTTTCATATTAATTAATTAATATATTACAGTTTCTCTTATACATCTCAAATTCTTCATAATCTTATTATTGAGATTCTAAAAGCATCTATTAAAATCAACTGAGTGTCATGATTCTGTCAGTATTATAAGAATATAATCAAGTCACTCTATCTTTATTATTATTATTATTATTATTATTATTATTCTTCCATTATACTCATATGCAAGCGGAGCTTATGATGAGTCCTTGCGTGATGTTAAATACAGGTCAAGTGTTGATTATACAGGAGGAAATACAGGTGTTGAGACCACGCCAAGATAACAAGAACATAGGAAAATACAAAGGAGTGACAATTAGATACATGCGATAATAACTTCCCAGCCCAGGAACATAGAGCGATTCATTGGAGCGATTTGTACACCTCTGTATTTATTAGGAACCTGAGGTGCTTGAGTTCCGGATTTAATGTATCCCCTGCGGGTTTCGAACCCACGCGCCTTGGTTTCCCAAGCCAAGGCGCTACCAGGTGGCCGCATTAACTATTCGGCCACCGGGGCTCACTCTATCTTTAAAATATTAACTAAAAATGCAAGATTGCAGATAATTTAATATATTTTAAGCATTATTTTAATCTTGTTATAGATTTTTTTCTTCTATTGATTTTTTACTTCTTACTAATTAATTTATAGCTACAGACAAAAATCACTTAATATAATGTTAAACTCATGAATATTTATAACTTTGATCAGAAAGAATTTCTATTAAGACTTATTCACATTCTTAAATATATTATATGAATTACTTCACTCAAATCAGATCATATAATAGATATCAGTCAGAATGATAGTTAAGAATTTATAACACTACTTATCTCAATTTATACAGATAAAACTTTACTCTCATCTGCTTTCATATATTAAGAAGAATCAAGAGATATACAAGATACTTAACTGAAGAATTTTAATAGTAAAAAGAATTAGATTCACTTTACTACTTCAGTAAATAGATAAAGTAATGATGAATATGAATTAATATAATTAAAGAAGATCTTTGAATCTCTATAAAAAGAAAGTAGAATATAAATATAACCTTCTTATATTAGATAATTACTTCTCTTATATTAATAGAACATTTATTAATTACACAGATTATTATCAGATTTTACTTACTATTATTTCTTCTCATTCTACACACTGATTACAGTAACTAGATATTGAAATATTTGAATTATTGAGTAAATCATACTTCAATCAACTGAATAAATAAATGAGAACTGAAATAAAATTTATATACACTATAAAGAGATCTTTTTAACAGTGATTTAATACTGTATAAAAGAAAGTAGTTACATCTTTAAATATTATATCTGCATTCACTACTACTGATCTATATTCATTTAATTCAGAACAGATTCTTAAAAAGTGTGTAATACAGTCTTATACTCTCTCAGATACACAATATTGATTAAGAATCTCTACTTTTATTATTAATTCATGAAAATTGATGAAGTAAGTCAAGCAGCAGTAATATTAAATATCTAGTAATTTCAATCAGATAATTCATATAGAAGAAAATCTTGCTCTTAATAAAGAGATTCTTCTAATAGAGAATAGACAGCTATAGTAAGCTCTTAATTAAGAGAGAAGATATTATAAGTATAATAGAGTAATAAAATTACTAGATTCTTTAAATTTATTATTAATATAGTTCTTTTCATCAGTAAGAATATAGATTATATATAAGAAAATAATCACTTCTGAAGCTATTAAAAAGAATGAATAGACTTGTAAGAAGAATATCAAGTTATAACACACTATTCTTAAGAAATAGAAGAAGATAGATATTATAAAGAAGAGAATGAAGTGAGAGACAGCTTATTAGATAGCAAAGTAGTAAAAAGATATGAATAAGACTGCAAGAGTCACTCAACAGCAGATTGAAAAGAAGCTTAGAGATATAAGAAAGACTTAAGAGTAAAAAGAGAAGAAAGAATAAGCTGCTGTATAACAGTAATCACAGTTAAATAAGAAAAAGATTGAAGAATTTAAAAATCATCTTTCTAATTAGAAAAGTAGACTCTTAATTTTATAAAGAGTAACTAAATCACATTTTCAGAGCTCTGTCAGAGTGCTTATAGATTCACTGCTGAAGAAATCTGATAATATTATAATCTTTACTGATTTAATAACTACTTGTTCACTGAATCTATCTCTACTCAAGGTTTCATGTTCTAGATGAGTTATTAAGCTCAATAAATATCTACAGAATTAACTGTATATTTTTATATGTAATTTTCTATATACATTTTCATCATATAATATATCATCTTAAAATCTAATTGTGTTGTTGAGATATTGATGAAAATATTTCATCATGATGATGGCGAAATGGCGGGCGTTGGGTGTAAGCGGGCGTTAAGTGATTGATCACGTTAAGTCTCACTGAGACAGTATGAGACTACTATCTAATGTTAAAACCATGTAATGAGATCAGTTGAATTGGCAATAAGACTATCAAAAATTCTGGTCCTGGTCTCAGACACAGTCAAACAGTCAGTCTGTCACTGACTGTAACACATGTTTCACTAGTATATTCAGTGATACATTGCTGAATATTAAATATTAAGATAATGTTAAAATAGAGAACTTTCTAACACTATTATAACACTACTTAGTAACTGTATAATTAACAGATATTACTATCACTTGAAGAATAACTGATAAAGGTGAAAGGTTGATTTATTGTACACTAATCTAGCCGCGCAGCATTTTATCGATGTGTGGGTCACATGGGCCTCATATAAATTAGACCATCCATGGATCCGGCCAACAAATAACGTTGTTGTATGTGTAATCTATCTACGCGGGTTACACTAAATATGTTCAACCGCCCCACCACGAACTCGCTCAATTTTTCGAATAAGAACCCGCCGATAGATCCATCGAAGAGCCCTCGATCATACGAGCATTGCGACCCCATCGCCGACCGCATACCCCGTGTGGTGGTGGAGTTATCCAGCCAAACGTGAACCAGACGTGGTTCGAACTCCTGTGTGGGATTATCCCCTGTCCACCCCTACCACACCACAACCCCGGGTCAAATTGCCATACAAATTGTAAGATGTAGAGACCTAGCCATATGCGCGAATCTTTTTGATTTTGGAAGATCCCCAACTGATGTTCCAAAACATCAACGCCGAGTCCCAACTCACGTACCGCCCTTCCAAATCTGGCCCCTCTCCAGCAGAAAGATACAAAAAGATACCTTGGCAATAGTATCAAGCACATAATCAACAGACACATCTGAAGTGCAACCTCCGCGAAAACACTGTCTGTCTTTGATGTCTCAAGACATCAATGCCATGTCTCACTCACATATCACCCCTCTCAATCTAGCTCATCTCCGGTGGAAAGATACAAAAGATTACCTCAGTAACAGTACTTAATACATAATCAGTGAACATCTTCAATATCAGTCTAACTCAAGATCTGACTGAGCCTTTGATGCCTGCATAGCAAGGTATATTAAATTTAGTTTTAATATCTCAATATTCAATAGATTCTGCAAGAGATTGAGAACAGCAATATTAGATTTCTATTAAACTTAAAGAATTAACTCTATAGTAATATAATCATTGATAAAGTCTTCTATTTTAAGATATAAATAATCAGTTCCTCTAGCCCCGGTGGCCGAATGGTCAATGCGGCCATGGATTCGAAACCCGCAGAGAATACATTAAATCTAGAACCCAAGCACCTCAGGTTTCTAATAAATACAGAGATGTACAAATCACTTCAATAAATCACTCTATATTTCTGAGCTGAGAAGTTATTATTGCATGTATCTAATTATCACTTCTTTGTATTTTTCTATGTTCTTATTATCTTGGTGTGATCTCAACATCTGTATTTTCTCCTGTATAATCAACACTTGACCTGTATTTAACATCATGCAAGGACTCATCATAAGCTCCGCTTGTATATGAGTATAATGAAAGAATAATAATAAGAATAATAATCAGTTCCTCTACATTCTGCTGACTGATAATATTTATATTATATAGAAATAAACTTATATTCTCTACAATATTAAGACTCTAAAGAGAGAAAGTCTTTCTTGATAGAGAGTATATAGTAGTATATATCTTAGCAGTTTCTATCTTATTCTTCTGCAGCAGTTAATACAAAAAAAAAAAAAAAAAAAAAAAAAAAAAAAAAAAAAAAAAGATCTTAGAACTAGGTTTTTACTTCTCTTGAAAAACTAAGATGTTTTTCTTTAAGTATTATATAATATTCTTATAAAGAATTAAAAACAGAGTTATTTTCTATTATAATTTCATACATTCTTTTAGGTAAGAATTACTTTTTCAGTGACTGAAGAGCTTTTATTAATACTTAATTCTTTTTTACACTCTTTATTAACTGATTTAAGTTGCACACTTATTGTGTGAGAAGAATTAAATAATTTAGAATAAAATTAAATAGTTTTAATTAATTTCTGTAACAAGCTGTATCTGATTATATAAACTATTTTATTACACTTCATAGATTTCTACTGAAAGCTTCAATTTTCAATCACTGATTCTTGACTGAGAAACTCATAGAGTTTCTATTCTTCTGCTCTGAAGCTTCATATTATATATATATATATATATAAATATTCACTCTGATCACTGATTTTCACACTTTCTCTTTTTTTCTTCTTTAACATTTTTCACTTTTATTTGAATAAAATCTATATCTTAATACTAATCAATTCAGTGTAGATCTCTTATACTTGAAAAACATTCATTATCTTCGCATTAGAAATAATTACTTATTGAGAAAATATCTGAATATGTAACAATGTATAAGAAATAGAGAAATGAATAATCAATTAAGTTAACACTGAGTCTTTAAATAAGAAGCTTACTCATCAATAACTCTAGCTCTGTAACAAGATCTCACAAAGAGAATATCAGTAAAAGACTTAAGAGTGCTGACATCTTAGATATATAAGATATTTATATAAAAACACTTCTTTCAAATTTAAAAAACTTTTAAATGTAGATACTACATATCTGATAAATAATATAGCTATGTCTACTAATATTATAAGAGAACTCTTAAAATTGAGTATAGACATAGTATTATAGTGACTTTAAGTAATATTGAAATTAGAACAACAACAGATAGCTGATATATATGTGAATTAATAATATCAATATAAGAAAATTCAATAATTAACTTAATAAGAATCTTCTGCAAAGACAATTTCAACACTGACTAAATCAGATATAAATATGTAAGTACTAAAGAAATGCCTAGACACTTCTGCATATTTTAATACTTCAGATCTGACTCTCTACCTGTTATAAAAATTGAACATACTTATAAATCTAAGTGTAGATGAAGATGCTATCAGTTCATTAATCAATCAAGATTAATATATCAATGATAAATTGAAAGAGTGCATGAAATAGAAGTTTTATTCATAAATGAAGACATGTGAATCAGTGATATATACATCTAATAATATTATTAAATATCTTAATATTCTGTTCAGAGACACTGGTATGCAGCAGAAGATATTAGATAGATTATAAAGTATTTAACAGAGAAATACTTCTCTTACAATAATCATTTCTAACTTCAATATTAAGATTCTAGAAGCAGGTGATTAATTCTGAGAGTATTAAATGAAGATCAGCATACTTGAGAAGATACTAACTTTAAACTCTTACAAGCTCTTATAAGTGTGAACAAAGACTCAACTTATAAAAACATCTGCATATAACTCTGAACATTGAATAACTGTCTTATTTAGATTAAAAGTATATAGAGTAATAGTAGAAGATATTGCACTTATTCATCTGCACTGAAGAATAATAATATAGATGCTATGAACTAAGTAGACTTAAATATCTATGTATAAGCAAGAGTCTCTGTCTATTAATAACAGATGTATATCAACAGTAACTGACTCAGATATATTACTTTCAACTATCAATCAGTGTATATATCTTCTCATTCAAAAGAAAGATGAACACTGACATTTCATATCAACTATATTTTATTAGAGAAAGATTCAGAAGATAAGTATGAGAATACTCTAATGAAACAGAGAGAAGATTAACTTCAGTATAAACTTACAAGCAGAAGCTTGAAGAGATCAGATGATAATAATTTGAAGAGAAAATAATTCTAAATCTAATTCTTGTATCTACTGTGATTAATAATATATATAATATGAAAGTTATGATAGATAGTAATCTATACTACTATACAATAATTAAGTCTTCACTTATAAGACACTGTAACCTGTAGTGTATTCTCATATTAAAACCTTAACTTTTCACAGAATTTGATGACTTAAAAGATATTTACACTTATTATATAATAAAACAAAATACAGATGTCAGATGTGACAGACTGTGTCTGATCAACTATATAGACTATTTTATTACACTTCATAGATTTCTACTGAAGCTCTCATTCTCAGTCTCTGACTCTCAGTTAAAAAACTGATAGAATTTCTATTCTTCCGCCTTGAAGCTTTACTATATACATGTATAAATATTCACTCTGATCACTGATTTTCATACTTTATCTTTTTCTTTCCTTCTTTAATATTTTTCACTTTTGTATTATAAGATCTATATATATTATACTGATCTATTCAGTGTAGACCTCTTATACTTGAAAAATATTCATTATCTTCTCATTAGAAACAATTACTGATTAAGATATTTGAATGTGTAACAACATGTAAGAAATAGAGAAATGAATAATCAGTTAAGTGAATACTGAGTCTCTAGATAGAAGCTTACTTATCAGTCACTCTGACTCTATAACAAGATCTAGATCTTATAAAGAGAATAAGATTTTATAAGAGAATGTCAGTAAAAGATCTAAGAATTCTGATATCTTAAATATATAAGATATTTACATAATTACACTTCTTTCAATTCTGAAGAACTCTCAAATACAGATATCATATATCTGATGAATAATATAACTACGTCTACTGATAATATAAGAGAATTCTTGAATACAAGTATAGATACAGTGTCACAGTGAATCTGAGTAATGTTGAAATTACAATAAAAATAGATAACTGATATGCATACAAATCAACAATGTTAATATAAGGAAATTCAATGACTAACTTAATAAGAAATCTCGGCACAGATAATTCTGACACTGACTGAATCAGATATGAGCATGTGAGTACTGAAGAAATATTTAAATACTTCTGCATATTTTCATACTTCTGATCTCACTGTCTATTCATGATAAAGATTGAAAATGCTTATAAAACTAAGTGTAGATAAAGATGTTATCACTTCATTAACTAATCAAGATTAGTATATTAATAGTCAATTGAAACATTATCTGAGACAGAAGTTTCATCTATAAATGAAGATATATGAATCAGTATTATATATATCTGATAACATTATCAGACTTTTTAATATTTTGTTCAGAGATACTGCTACACAGTAGAAAGTATTATATTGATAACAGAGTGCTTAACAGAGAAATACTTCTCTCACTAAATTCATTCCTGACTTTGCTACTAAGTTTTCAGAAGCAGATGATCAATCTTGAAAGAATTGAATAAAGAGTAGCATGCTCAAGAAGGCACTAACTTTCAAACTATTACAGACTCTTATAAATATAGATGAAGATTTAACTGATGAAGGCTTCTACATACAACTTTAGACATTGAATGATCATCTTATCAAACTTAAGAGTATACAGAACAGTGGCAGAAGACATCACATCTTAGTCACTTGTATATATATGTCAAAGAATAATAATACAGATATCATGAATTCAGTGAACTCAAATATCTATATATAGACAAGAATTTTTACTATCTGTACAAACTTCTGAGTTTCTGAGATCACCTCTGAAGAAGTTATCAATAAATATCAATGAGAGATATGCATCAATTGTAACTGATCAGAACATAATACTTTTATCTACTAATCAGTCTATATATCTTCATATTCAAAAGAAAGATGAACACTGGCAGTTCATGTCAATCACATTGCATTAAAGAAAGATTGAGAAGATAACTATAAGAATATCTCAGTAAAACAGAGAAAAGACTAGCTTCTGTTTAAACTTATAAATAAAAGCTTGAAAAGATTAAACAAGAATAATTTGAAGAGAAAATGACAATGAAGGCGATTCTTGTATCTACTGTGATAGATAACATGTATAATATGAAAGCTATGATAGACAGCAGTCTATATTATTATACAATAATTAAATCTTGAATTGTAAGATATCATAATCTTCAGTATATTCTCTGCTTAAAATCTTAACTCTTTGCAGGATTTGATGACTTAAAAGACATTTACACTTATTACATAATGAAACTAAACATAGATGTCAGAGAACATTAATATGAAGATGTCTATGTATATAAAGTTAATAATCTTGACTATAATCTTATGCTAGAACTTGTCTGACTATTTGAATAAGACATCTTACTGAATACTTAAAACTGAAGTTCAATATTCTCTAATAATATTAGAATTTATAAAGATATTGTTTACAAGACTATGAATCTGACACAGATATCTGTCAATAC